GCTACTACAGAGGTTTCCAAGTTCTTACTATACAAAAAAAGTCCAAACTTGGAATTCAGCTTTAATTCACAAAACAGTAACGCAAGGGTAAGAATCTTTTTTTTTTTTTTTTTTTTTTTTTAGCCATATGCTTAATTTTCAAACTAAACTGTAACTTTACTTGAAAATAAGGATTCTTATCCTGGTGAGTTATACATATGTGCATATATAAAAATACCAGTGCTATTTCATATATATCTATACAATTGTCCAGGGAGATACATTTGTTCCAGCTGCTGGGGTTGGCACAGTTTAATTTTTTAGAGATTTGCTGGCTGTTAGAATTGAATTGACCCTTCATATGCATTCTGATTGTACAGTCTCCTGTAGATCTGTACCATCAGCTATGCAGTACAAGGACCTAACTGATATGATACAAATTGCAGGGATTGTTTATGTCAGTCCTCATATTATATAGTTTTGGAATGTACAAAAACTGTATAATCAGATTGTATAGTATATGGTCATGTGATTTGAGATCATAATCATCTGCTTACATAATCCTACAAATTATTTGTAAAGTCTCAAAGCTTAAACTTTTTCAAAATAATTTATAAAATGAATTGGCTTCCATAAGCTGTAGCACAACTGCATTATCTCCACCATTTTATAAAACATACCAGCTTTGATCACTAAAAGAATATGAATATCATTCATAAAACTAAAGAAATGAAAATGATCAGAAAACTGGAGTTTCTGCCAACAATAACCAATCGGGTTTCACCTCATATTTTAAGAAAAAAATTAAAAAGTATTATAACCGGTGGCTTTTCTTGTTCTCAATTAATTTTCCCAGTTTTAATGAATAGGAAAGAAATAAGTTTTAGCTCTCTTGGAAGAGACAGGTGCAGTGTCCAGCCCTGCTGAATACAGCCTGTCAATGTATATGGCTGGCTACGACTAAACTTTGTACCGAATGGAACCCACATTTAGTACTCGTGTGGTCAGAGACAAATGCCAGGATTGCAGAAGACCTGAATTCTGTGCATTTATCCCTGAGCACACAGGGAACTAAATGAGGTATCACTCAGTATACTGCTCATCCCTTCCAGCCACAGACTTTGACAGGCTGCATGCAGTGGGGCTGGATGCTGAACCTGTTCCTCCCAGGAACACTAAAACACCAGGAGGGGTGCACTTCAGCTAGGCAGCCCTGTGTGCAAGGGACCTAAATGTTCAGGAAACTGTCAGCAACATGTGTGCATCCACCTATGCTCAAATCTATGGGCTTCTAAAAAGGTGCACATAACAGAACTGGTAATATGGAACAATGCTGTTTCTTACCCTATCAAATACTATGGGCTACTACTGAGGCTTTCTGAAATTCTAAGACAAAAGTACACATTCTAACTATTCTGCATAGTTTGTCAGTGCAACATTTTGATAAATTCACCCACATTGTTGAAATGTTAAGCAATGTCTAAAATTATAGAAAATGACATTTATTTATTACAGGTACTTATATAGTGCTGTCAATTTACGCAGCACTTTACATATATATTGCACATTCACATCAGTCCCTAACCCTCAAGGGGCGTACAATCTAAGGTCCCTAACTTACATTCATACTCATAATATGGCCAAATTAGATAGGAGCCAATTAACCTACCAGCATGTCTTTGGAGTGTGGAAGGAAACCAGAGCACCCAGAGGAAAACCACGCAGACACAGGGAGAACATACAAACTCAAGGAGTGCAGGGGGTGTCATGGTTGGGATTCGAACCAATGACCCTAGAGCTGCCAGGTGGAAGTGCTGAGCACTTAGCCACTGTTCCGCCCACATATTGGACAACAATAAAAAAATGGACACACTCATTTACTTATTGACCTTATATAAAGCCCTGTAGTTTAAAGTGACTGTCACTAAAATCAAAGTGGCCATAAGGGAGTAAATATTACCTCTTTGCCATCTGTGCCATCAAACAATGCTGTAATGCAGTGAAATTGCCCTCTGAAATCTCTTCTTCCTGGTTCTTTGCAAAATTCAGTGGTTCCTCCCACCAACCTAAAGATGTAACACTTCAAGCAATTCTGAAGCCATGAGAGAAAAAAACATTTTTCTAGTTTTTTTCCAGAAACAAAAATGAAATTTTTGGAAAACCTTAAGAAAAAAAAAAATCAGCGTGGAGTAGTTTTACAAGCAGAAAGTAATTGTAGGTTCTAAAGCTTACATATTTTTTTTTTTTTACCTTAATACAATTCTTTGCATTAAGGTAAAACATTTTTAGATTAACGTTTCGCCCGCTCACCCACCAATACTTACCTGAGCCTGATCTTGATCCAGCACTGTGTTCATCTGCAGCAGCTCTCTCTACTCCTTGTTCTCACAGGCTTTGCTGAGAGCAGCAGGAACCATTGGTTTCTGCTGCTGTCCATCAAATCCAGTGACAATGGAACGTGGGGTGGATGCTTAGGATTAAGCATGCAGGTGTGCCACCATTGGAAGCAGCTTCCTATGGTGGCACACTGAGAATGGGAGGATCCAGGAACACCACTGGGTGGCCCAAGAAGTGGAGGGTCAGGGCCGCTCTGAGCAATTCCATTGTACAGGGTACATAAGTATAAACTTGTTTGTTATTTAAAAAAAATAGAATGTAAGACTTTACAATCACTTTAAATGTTATAAAGAAACAAAATGTACCCTCCTACCTGTCAATTAAAGTGGTTGTAAAGGCTCAAGATTTTTTTCGTGCACAATGTGCACGAAAACAGTAGCTCTCCAGTGACTCTTCTTCATCATTGGCTGAGAAAGCAGCAGGAGCCATTGGTTCCTGCTACTGTCAATCACAGCCAATGAGCAGAGAGCCGGGTGGGGGGAGCCCAAAAGGAAACTAAACTGAAGCCTTTCCCCTGTAGTGCCCCATAGTGGCAGAAATCCATATTTCTCTTATTTGAGCACTGCATTGAGAAGTACAGTGTTACGTGAATTGTATTCCAGGATTTGCTTGTCTTCAGCTTCGAGAACTTGCAATAATTTAAGACTTTACATAAAGTCTCGGAAATCTATCATTGAGTTTCTTTGTGTTATAAACTTTTGAATACCATGTCACAGATATATTATTTATCATTGTAAAGAGATCATATTCCATGCTCTTGATTTTTCCAAATTTTTCCAGGCCTCCCATATCTACACTGATGACTAAGTCATTATTGGATCATGCAGTGGAGTAGGGATTGGTGAGAAGAACCAATGAGGGCAGTGAGGGACAAGAAGATCAACACATCTGAAAGTGTAGGTTTCTAAATAGGATTTAGGGGAAAATGTTTTCTAAATTACAGTGGTGTTCAACAGCACAGGCAGCAGGGGAGATGAGTATTTACTATTGTCTTTAAAGGGAACATTTCGATAGACATGTTGATTTTAGCCACAGCATAGCTTTAAAGAGATTCTGAAAGAAAATAAAATGCTGCACTTATAAAATGCAGGCACCTAGAGATACATGACAGCCTACCTTACTGACCAATAGGAATATGCAGGAAGTAGAAATAAGCAGGCAAGTTTCGGCAAGTTCAAAAGTATTTTCTTTCAGAATGGGCCAAGATTTGGCTCTAAGTGACAGAGTTGGAGTCTCCAAGGAAATAAAAAAATTACACCTTTTTGTGTAATTATGTATTAGATTAAAACATTTTAGATATTTTCAATATTTCTATTATTATTACTTGAAAACAACTGTTTTAAAGAATAACTAAATCCAAGAATAAAAAATGTAAAATACTGCAGCTTCTCAGTTCTTAGATGTTGTGGCTGCATTAGTTTTGTTTTCAGGTGGTGGAGTAAATGTAGACACTCAGAGATGTGATGTGGGCTTTTTGAAGAATAACCATGTGGAAAATAAAATGTGAAAAAGCCTAAAAAAGAAAACAAATGCAGACAACTCAGAAGCTGCAAGCTCTGAATTGTAATGTCACTCTATGGCTATATGGTGGTGCAGAATCACAAAACTTTCTGAACAGAATTACATATTTGGTTGGTCAGGTAATATGGTTCGAACGCATTCCAACTTTGTGTTTACCTGTTTGTTTGGAGATCTGGATTAATGTTTAACAATGAAAATATTTTGGATAAGACAATATCCACACCTTTGTAAACATTAATGAATCATTACATTTGAAAAAACAATACCAACCTAGCATTCTTGTGGAAGAAATGCAAGATTTCAAGAATAAATAAAATGACTTAACACTACTTTTGGAAAACTGCCTTACACTGCATAAGGAATACTATAACATATATCATACCATTAAAAATTGTAATAGGTTAGATAACAGAATTGTTCATACAAGCACCAACTGCAAAAAACGTAATCAAATTTATAACAGCAATACAAAAATGTATCTGATGTCACCTCCCAATGTTATTAATGTAAAATAGGAGAGGTAATAATGTAAAAAAAAAAACCCTTCAGGCAGATATGCAGTAAATGATGAACAATGCACTGTCAGATTCCTACAATAAGTTATAGAAATGTGGATTTAAATTAAAAGCATTGAAGGAGGCTTTATGGCATAACAAAGGTTTGTTGGTACCTATGGACTCTGACAGATACATACCACTTTTGTTGGAGGTGGTACTTCACATACAGTAAATGCCTTCTGACAATAGTTACTCTCATTTTTCAACCTAAAATGTATTTTGAACCATAATCTCTACAATGTCTTTCCCACCACAGAGGGAAATTGTTTTGGCTCTATAGACAATCAATGTATGCAAAATATGTGGAACAAGATTATCAGAGTCATCCAGCAAAGATGGCTATTTACCTTTTGCCCCACCAGGCTTTTTTCATATAAAAAATATGAGGAAAGGGAAAATGTACAAGGAATAGTTGGCCATGGTATGCATAAAGCAAAAATTCAGCCACAAAGTGCTTTTACAAGTGAACGTCTCAGGGGACTGGTAAATAGGGAAAGGATGAAGTGCTTGGTGCCTAGTGGTGGTAAAGAGAATGCATTTCATTCTCTAAGGGATCTGAAAGACATTAAGCTTGCTGGTGTTTTTCAGAGTCTGGCGTCGGTTGCAGAACCACACCCTCACCACCCTCACGATCATAGTTGAGTTCCTTAGCAATATCTGTTATTTCTTGTCCAGTGGGCAAGGCATTCTTCTCAAAGTATGTATTTAGGGCTTCCACAGCCTGTGGGGTGAAAGAGGTACGCCTCTTACGTTTTTTGGATGGCTCACCACCCACAAACTCCATCAAATTTTGTTGTCCTTCTTGGTTCCTCATTTCTGCTTCATTCAGCCATTTCTCCAAAACTGGTTTCAACTTCTGGGCACTTTTTGGTGTTATATCTAACTTCTCAAACCTGCAGCAAAATGGAAAAGGTATCTACCAATTACAACTTCACCAAACACTTTACTTTATATCAGTGAGAATGTCTACAAAAAGACATGAAATAGACCAAGGAAAAAACACCATTTCACCATGATCTGTGAATAACCTTAGCAACAGTTAATATATAGTTGTAATGTCTGTTCATGGTTGTGTCTGTGACATCAAAAGGACTACAAAGGGATCATCATTAGTTCATGACCTCAATTACATTTAAAATCTGTTTGTTATAAGTAATATGTATGTAATTTACTCCCTTTGCCAACTGAATAGATTACTGAAGTTGCACAAATTGATTCACTATTCAGCAATTTTTCGGGTGATTCATGAATTTTGTATTGAACAAGTTTATCTTCATGTAAGCTCGAAAGAGCAGGGCCCTCAATCCCCTCATGTTTTGCATTGTATTGGTATTGTTCTGTCACATGTTCTGTCCCCCTTTGTAATGTATACAGCGCTGAGCAAACTATTGGCGCTTTATAAATACTGTATAATAATAATAATGTAAGTGCATTTTCCTTTCAAATCCCCTTGACATGGCAAATCAAAGTGTATCTTTGTTTATGTTGAACAAAAAAAAAAAACATCAGCAATTGCATGCAGGCAGATATACACTCACCAGCCACTTTATTAGGTACACTGTGCTAGTACCAGGTTGGACCCTATTTTGCCTTCAGAACCTGCCTTAATTCTTCGTGGCACAAATTCAACAAGGTGTTGGAAACATTCCTCAGAGATTTTGGTCCATATTGACATGAGTTACTGTTGCCTTTCTATCATCTTGAACCAGTCTGCCCATTCTCCTCTGACCTCAACGAGGCATTTTTGTCCATACAACTGCCGCTCACTGGATATTTTCTCTTTTTCAGATCTTTCTCTGTTAGGCTAGGTTCACATATGTGAGGGTGGTGCTGCTGCGGATCCGCAAAAAAATCCATGCAGCTGCACCACCCACACAGAAGAATGCGGACCCGCAGGCGGGTGCCATTAATTTTAATGGCACGTCACCCGCACTGGAAATTGCAACCGCACTGGTTACAGTGCGGGTTGTGGTTTCCAAAGAAGTGCAGGGACTTCTTCCCCGCGTGTCCCAGGGTACGGGAGTCCATTCAAATGAATGGGCTCTCGTGCTCGTGCAAAACGCAGCCCGCAGGGAAAGCACATATGTGAACCAGGGCTAAACCCTAGAGATAGTTATGCATGAAAATCCCAGCAGATCAGTTTTTGAAAGACTCAGACCAGCCCGTCTGGCACCAACAACCATGCCATGTTCAAAATCACTTAAATCCTCTTTGTTCCCCATTCTGATGCTCAGTTTTAACTTCAGCAAGTCATCTTCACCACATCTACATGCCTAAATGCATTGAGTTGCTGCCATGTGATTGGCTGATTAGCAGTTTGTGTTACCAAGCAATTGAACAGGTGTACCTAATAAAGTGGTGAGTGTGTATTTCTGCAGGTGCCCCATGAGCCCTGAAAGTCAGGCCATCCTATTATGTAGAGCTCAACCTCAAGAACTAAAGTCAAGCTCTGGCCTATACCTTTCCCCTTCTCAAACCTTTCCATAATTCTAAAGTGGGCTGAATGAAAAAAACAGCAGATTCTTCCACCACAAAATTAGGTGGATGGGAGAATCCCTAAGCCAGGAAAATGTATTCTGCTGCTGATCAATAAAAATGTTTCTAACATGTCCTAGCAGGTCTCTGTTCGACTATCCGAATTTCGATCAGTGTATAGCTAGATTTAAGCTGGCCATAGATGGATCATTATTTTTTTTTTAAATTAAGGGATTCCTCCAGCCACACAATCGAGGTGGATAAAGGAATCAACTTCTGTTGACCAGGGATGGCCACATCAGTCTATGGCCAGCATAAGACTATGATAGGTAGCCTGCTTAAACAATAGGGAGGCTCAGGAAATAGTCATGAAAGTTGGGCCCTAGCTTTAGCTCTGTAGGAAATTTGAAGGCCTGTGCAGGTAACTTTAGATGCCTGAATTTCCTTCCTGCCACAACTTTATAGTGTGCAGGTAAACCACACAACCCTACACATGCATGTTGAAATCAAACTTTGCCCCTGCAAACACATTTCTCTCTGCTAAAATGCCTCTTTTGTGTACCAGATTGGGGGTATTCATTTATTACAGCTTCTGTGTCATGTATACGGACAGACAACTCTGTCTTACCTACAGATGGCAGACTGGCTATACGCAGGTCCTTCTGTGGCAGTCAATGCTTGGCCCACCTGTGTCTGAGTCAGACCAAGAGATAAGCGGCGAATTTTAAAGTCCTTGGCAAATTCACGTATCTCTTCTAGATTTTATACCATCTTCATCATAACCTCCAGAGTGTGGCTCTAAATATAAAGAGTCACTAAGTCAATTATGCCCTGTCTTACAGCAGAACTAAATCCGTCAATGAGATCTATTTTTAACCTCTTGGCACCGGCCGAACGCCGAACGCAAATGTGCGCCCTCCTGGCGTCTGGGCCTAGACGCCGAGTGGCTGCACATTTGTGTTCTATTAAAAAAAGACGTGCTGAGAGCGCGCGCCCTGCTTTCTACCAGCACACATGTCCGGTACTCACGGAAAGGTCCCGATCTAGTCTTTCGATCGGCACCTTTCCCAATCATGTGACTGCCGTGATGTCATGTCACGACGGTCACATGACTCTAAACCCCGCCCCACCTCCTGAAACCCTTTAAGGGCCGGGAGGCACTGGCGCCAAGGGGTTAAAGTAGTAATAAACCCAAAAGCAAACATTATATTGTAGCTTACCATTTCTTAGATGTGATAGCTGCATTCATTTTCTTTTTTAGACATACTTGCTTTTATTTTCACCTGATGATCCAGCCAGTAGGTCTGTTCTTTTTCAAAAGAACAAGCTCTCCAGCAGCATGTATCAGTTCCAGAGATGAGGCAAACCATTTATTACCAGTAGGAGTGCTTGCAATGATCAGCTTTTATTTATTTATGTAAAACCTTTATCCCAAAAGGAAAAAAAAAACTGTTTGCTTAAACTGCTCATAAAGTGTTATCTGGAGTTTGACTTCAATTTGTTAGTGTATTTAAATCTACTAGTAACACTAACACTCCTCTTCCTCCAGACTGACAATGCTGCTGTCCAAACGTGCCCCCTATGCTCATTCATCCAGAGCGGGGACACTCTAATACAAGAGGTGTGTTACTGGCCAGATCACCAGGTGAGAACAGAGGGAAAAAAAAACATTAGATAAGAAAACTAATACAGTCACCGCATCTAATGATTGGTAAGCTGCAGTCTATTAGATTTTTGGTTTTGGGTTTAATACTTTAAAAAGTTCAGTCATATTGGTAAATAGTTAAATTGTTGATAAATTATGGTAGCTATGGTTTAGCTGCACTGGGTTTCACATAAAACTACATTTCAGAAGCACAACATTGGGATTTGGTGGTGTGGAAAAGCCAGGTTCTGTAAGACCTGCACATCACAAAAAATAAAAAACTACTAGATTATAACCAGAAAACAAAAATACAGTTCAAATGAATGGCTAAGGCCTGTAGATTTTCTTTTTGAGCATTTCTCTATATAAATTGATATACAAATACCCACTAGGGACAGACCCTACCAATCAAAAAATCTGGAAAAATAGAAATGCAAAAATTGGGAATTTGCACTGGAAATTAACCCTTTTGTGACCAGAGGTTATTGATGCCTAGATGTGCAGGCCAAATATATATATATATATATATATATATATATATATATATATATATATATATATATATAGACACACACACTTCTATTGCCCTCTACATTTATACTAGTTGCACTGTTTGCAACACTGTTGCAAAACATATTGAGAAGGCCTAAAAGGTGTTAAATCCAGGGTAAATACGATCATCTAAATTGGAACTTCATCCTAAAGTTCTGCTTTATGCCCTCCTCCCCCCTCTTGTATTTTTTGCAATTTTTTGGGGAAGGGGGAGGAGTGGGTACCCGGTTTTGACAGGTACCTGCTTCTGCTTCTGATCAGATCGCCACGGCGGACCCACCAGAAGTTCTCCCCCCTCCTTCATCCCCCCAACCTTCTGGAACACGTCACAAGTCTCAGAAGACTGCAGGACCATTCACAATGTGCAGCATGGCTCGAGCATGTGCAGTGGGAAGCCAGCTGTGAAGCCACAACAGTAAACATGCAGGCAACCGTGGACCCAAAGACCAGTGAAGAACTGGTTTGGGGTGAGCACGGCACTGGATCCCTTGACAGGTAAATGCCCTTCTGATAAAAGTTAGTAGCTAGAGTATTTGTAGCTGCTGACTTTTAATTTGTTAAACAGGGCGAAGAACGCTTTAAGTTTCTAAAACTCTGCACAGATGAGTCGAGGAGGGCTTACTTACTTGACACCAGCTGGCCTACTGTTGGGGGCTCAGAAGAGCTGACATGGACTTGAGGAGTTGCTGATGTATTGGCTGGAGTTGGATTTGCTACAACCACTGACGGCTGTGTGATAGAAGGAGCAGGCTGGATTTGCTGCATTGGCTGAAGCAAAAATTAAAATTGTTAACAGGTTTTCAATTGATATAAATAATCCTATTCTATTTTCCTTAGATGTTAAAATTTTCATCATGCCTTTTAGTTATAAGTGCCAATGGAGAATATAACAAAAAGCTTAATTTGATATCTGAAATAACTGTGATGCTCCACAGCAGACAACCAGATTCAAATAGTTTTTCTCCAGTTACCATTTTCTAGAGTGAATGTGCATCTGATTGGATGCTGTGGGGCAATACAGATAATAAGATATTTTACTACTCACCATAAATACCCTTCTCTGAGTTCATTAAAGGACACATCTCAGTAGCATTCTTGATAATAGGGTTAAAACACTACCTTCAAGAGTAGGGCACTAGGCAGAAAAAAGAAAAAAAAGACCTCCACAAAACCTATAATGTGGACACGGGGACAGAAAATCAACGTCCTCATTCTGATGAAAATCAGACACCACCTTCAGAAATAAGGAGGAATGTGAACAGAGTACCACCTTATCCTTGTGCAAGATCAAACAAGGGGATTTACAGGACAAGCCACCAACTCCCACATGTTGCGAGCTGAGGTGATAGCCTCCAAAATAGGCAACCATTTGGGAGAAAGAGAGACACCAAGGGAGATCCCTAATATTCTCAAAGGGTGGCTCCTGTAGGACTGACAGAATCAAATGAAGGTCCCACGGCATCAATGGAGAGAGCGCTGGAGGAGCCACATGCTTGACCCATTGAATGAAGGTATGAATCAAGGAAGGCGTAGCCATAGAACGTTGAAAGAAAACCACAAGGGTTGAACCTGGCCCTTGAAGGTACTCTAGGAAAGCTTTTAATCAACACCATGGTAGAGGAAAGCCAAAAGCTTGGCACCGAAAAATGTGCACAGATGAAAACTGGCAGCCTCACACATGAAAAGTAGGACTTTCAAGTATGATGGTAAATCCTGCAAGAGGTTAATATTATGTGCCCTCAACATGGTGGGAATAACAGAGGCCAAAAACCCCCTGCCTCGGGAACCTGGACAACAAACCAGCAATGGTAAAGCAGGGATGTCCGTGACCAGACGCACCTCGTCGGTGTACCAGGGTCAACTATGTCATTTGGAGCCACCAAATGACTGGAATCCCGTTGCCCTCTATCTTTCGCAATAGCTGTTAGAGAAGCTTAAGAGGTGGAAGGTATAAATGAGATGGTAATAGCTCCCTTGTGCCACCATAGTATCTGCCAAAGAATCCCTCACGCTTGTCACAATCTTGACTCCCTTCAGTTGAGATGGGATGCCAAAAGATCCACATCCGGGGTGCACCATCGTAGGCATATCTGGTTGAAAACATCTAGATGCAGGGACCACTCACTCAGAATTTGAGGGCTGAGGGAATCTGCCTGCCAGTTCCCCACATGGTCCTAACAAATAGGAAGGAACAACTTGCCGCTCCAGCAGAAATGGGGACTGAAGCCACCAGAGAAGGGAGGGCTTGACTAACTGTCCCATGTAAATCTACCTGTCCACCGACAAAGTGACCCTGACCATTTGGTTAAAATCAGCTTCTGCAGAACTCGAGCATGGAACTGCACATATGGAATCGCCCCAAAGAAACCATGAAGCTTAAAACTTGCATGCAACAACACAGAGGCCCACCTGTAGGAAAGGAACAATCAAACCTAGGACAGAGTCCAAGATTTTGTCCAGTGGAAGAAGAACCGTGGCCTGAGCTGATGCAGAATCAGACCCAGACACTCCAACCATATGGGTGAAAGCCAGAGAGGCCCTCTGGAACTGCAGGATCCAGCTAAGCAGAGTTTGCACAGCGAACACTTGCGCATCCAGGCAGGGCAAAGTGGGCTCCCAGGAGAAGAAATCATCCAGGAAAAAGTTTCCACGGAATCCCCCGCAGTCTCAGTGACACCAGGATTTATGCCAATGCTGTGGCAAATACCCAGAGAGCGGGAGCCAGATGAAAATGGAAGGGTGCCAAAATGGTAGCAAACTTCCCCAACAGAGAGTAAACAGACTATTCTGGATATTTGGACCTCACAAAAGCATTGAAGTCTGAGAGGGCCAGATAGCTCATAACCCGTCAACAGGATGGAGCAGGGAGCCATGCACCTTCCATGCTCAGGCACCAGAGCAATCAATCCTAGAAGGAGCTTGCCCCCAACTACTAGGAAAAAGGTCAAGTAGTCAAGACAGGACATAGTTTGGAAGAAAAAAAAAAAATGTCAGTATGATAAAAAAAAAAACCTCATATCCCATAAAAACAAGGACTTGCTGGAAAATTCAGGCTATAGCATTAGCTTCATCCTTGCGCAAGGAGAGCACAAACCATCTCAGAAACTGTCTGGATTCTACAAAGCATCCTTGATCCCCAAAAGGGGGACAATAACCAGAACATAAATCCAAGAATCTGAAAGAGAATGAGTTCAAGAATCTGTGAACTAGCCAAGATGACTCTCCACTGCAGAATGAACAGGTGGGGCCTTCATGCCATAGAGGACTAGTCTGCAGGCTTACAGAGCTTTTGCTTCCAAGGTCATCTGGGACTACCAGCATAGGCCACAGGCGAAAGAAGATCCAACTCGCAACCGGATTTCTTATCCTCCAATTTGCAGGAGAACAAGCACTGTCACCACCTGAGGGACACTGGACAGTCATACCAGTTGGCACCGAAAAAACTTGTCTCCTCAGAAGGGCAACTCTGATTAGGCCTACTTGAATGCTGGTCCATCGACCAACAGAAAATCAGAGGACATGGCACAGCATCCGTGACCCAAAACAGTTATGTTCAAGGCTTGCTGCAAACGACAACCTCAACTGAAATTTTAAGTCAAATTATTTTGAGTCATAACCCCATCCAACGCAGCACCATGGTAACTGCAGATAAAGTATAGAGGAAGGGTTTGTCTCCCAGACTCCCAAAGGAGAAGCAAACTGGAGTAGTCTTCACAGGACACGGATAGCCTAGCCATGAGACCTCCAAGAAAGGAGATTGACTTAGTAAAAATGGTAGGCAAATCTAACATAGGGAACACTCACAAGGCTGCTATTGTCCATAATGGGCTGTCACAGCCAACCCAGCACATAGAATTTGTTTGCAAAATATGGTGGAAAATAAGTATTTGGTCACCTACAAACAAGCAAGATTTCTGGCTCTCACAGACCTGTACCTTCTTCTTTAAGAGGCTCCTCTGTCCTGCACTCATTTTCCTGTATCAATGGCACCTGTTTGAACTTGTTATCAGTATAAAAGACACCTGTCCACAACCTCAAACAGTCACACTCCAAACTCCACTATGGTGAAGACCAAAGAGCTGTCGAAGGACACCAGAAACAAAATTGTAGACCTGCACCAGGCTGGGAAGACTGAATCTGCAATAGGCAAGCAGCTTGGTGTGAACAAATCAACTGTGGGAGCAATAATTAGAAAATGGAAGACATACAAGACCACTGATAATCTCCCTCGATCTGGGGCTCCACGCAAGATCTCACCCCATGGGGTCAAAATGATCACAAGAACGGTGAGCAAAAATCCCAGGACCACATGGGGGGACCTAGTGAATGACCTGCAGAGAGCTGGGACCAATGTAACAAAGGCTACCATCAGTAACACACTATGCTGCCAGGGACTCAGATCCTGCAGTGCCAGATGTGTCCCCCTGCTTTAGCCAGTACATGTCCGAGCCTCTCTGAAGTTTGTTAGAGAGCATTTGGATGATCCAGAAGAGGATTGGGAGAATGTCATATGGTCAGATGAAACCAAAATAGAACTGTTTGGTAGAAACACAACTCATCGTGTTTGGAGGAGAGAGAATGCTGAGTTGCATCCAAAGAACACCATACCTACTGTGAAGCATGGGGGTGGCAACATCATGCTTTGGGGCTGTTTCTCCGCAAAGGGACCAGGACGACTGATCCATGTACAGGACAGAATGAATGGGGCCATGTATCGTTAGATTTTGAGTGCAAACCTCCTTCCATCAGCAAGGGCATTAAAGATGAAACGTGGCTGGGTCTTCCAACATGACAATGATCCCAAACACCGCCGTGCAACGAAGGAGTGGCTTCGTAAGAAGCATTTCAAGGTCCTGGAGTGGCCTAGCCAGTCTCCAGATCTCAACCCCATAGAAAACCTTTGGAGGGAGTTGAAAGTCCGTGTTGCCCAGCGACAGCCCCAAAACATCACTGCTCTAGAGGAGATCTGCATGGAGGAATGGGCTAACATACCAGCAACAGTGTGTGCCAACCTTGTGAAGACATACAGGAAACGTTTGACCTCTGTCATTGCCAACAAAGGATATATAACAAAGTATTGAGATGAACTTTTGATATTGACCAAATACTTATTTTCCACCATAATTTGCAAATAAATTCTTTCCAAATCAGCCAATGTGATTGTCTGGATTTTTTTTCTCATTTTGTCTCTCATAGTTGAGGTCTACCTATGATGCCAATTACAGGCCTCTCTCATCTTTTTAAGTGGGAGAACTTGCACAATTGGTGGCTGACTAAATACTTTTTTGCCCCACTGTAGCTAAAGGCCTGCATGTGCTCATATTCCAGGCTGGAGTTACTACTGGATCTACAGTATGTTATCCAGCCTGTCACCAGGCTTGGCTGTTGATTGACGATCTCTTAGGAAAATCCAAAGAAAAAACTAAAGAAAGGAAATGTTTAGAAAACACATGGAACTGAGAGTCCCAACATATTACCAAGCTGTGTCCTTCAATGAATGTAAGAGAAATCCTATTTTAGACACATGCTAATCAAGGGCATGCTTGGTTAATTCTTTACAGAAATCCAAAGACCAAAAGCCATTTAAGGAAGGTCTAGATAGCTGTTTATAGGTCAGAATGCCCCTATCCCCCACTGCTTACACTATTCACTGTGCAATAGAAGCAGCTATGCTGTAGTACAGGGGTCCTCAAACTGCGGCCCGCTGAAACCATTTATCCGGCCCGCTGGCAGAGGCGGGACAGGAAGGGACACTAAGTACAGGGGCG